ATATTATAACATCGACTGAGATAAAGAATAAAATGAAATATTAAAATCATGATGTATCTCGCTGCATTGCGCGAGTACGCTTCTAGTATATATATATATATCTRTACTATCTTATTAAGCAAATTTAGCAAAAGTCTTAAAGTCTTAAAATTCTAAATGACCAAAATACTCTTTATACTCACTTTTTTACTTTTTCACCCCCTCCTCTCTTCACATACACTCACCCCCTCACATACACTCACCCTCTCACAATTGATTTTTTTAAAATTATAATTTTAAATTTACATTTATATCCCTATAATTAATTAATTAATTAATTTACTTTATGCTCTTTACTTTTAAATGTTTCATTTTAAACTTTTATCAAATTAACATACATAATCATATATCAATTAAAACATGTTTAAAAAATACATTTTTATTTTAATAAGTTACACCATTATAATCGTCTCGTTAATACCTTCGAAATGAGTCAAATATAGAATAGTTTTTGACTTAATTATATTATTATATATTATATACACTGTAAAAAAATATTTTTTATATTTACGATTTATACTTTTATAGTTATTGAAGATTCTGAAATTAAACCTAAAGAGGAGATTGAGAGACGAAGAGCCTCTAGTTTAAACCCGAAATTGTTGAAAAATAAAATAATGCCAATAAATTAGAAAAAAAGCAAAAATGGGATACTAAACTGAGAAGATGCCACGTCATCTCTTCAAGTTTCTACTTTATATAGATATATAGATTTATTTATATATATACTATATATTTTGGGGTTAGGCTGTCTAAATTGCACTATATAATATGTTTTGAATTAGTATGTTCTTGGGTTTTTTTGAAATATATATACATGTATTAATTCAACCTTAATCTGAGTTTCTGAACAAGAAATAGGGTAAACAGTTGAAATTTCATTCTAAAACCCATCTTTTTTTTGTCTTTTCATGGCTTATGATCTGTCAAATTTGTAGTTTTCTTTATTGGTTTTGAGTGTTTATCTTAAAACTCAAGTTTCTTGGTTAATTTGCTCTTGGTGTAAATCGATTATATTTGTGGAGTCGTTTAAATATGTTGGATTTTAAATATATTG